AACCCTGGCACAACCTCCATCCCAACTGGCATCTGATGGACACCAGCTGCTCCCTGGCCCAGCCAGGAACAATAAGGATGCTTTCCCCCTCCCCGTTCCCAAAAAGTAGGGGGAAAAAAACAAAACAAAACAAAACCCAACACCAACCCATATAATAAGTCATTAAAAGGGAAGATTCTGCTCCTTATTTGTGGTCTCTCTCTGGCCTCCTCGATGCTGGCAGGGGGCCAGGCCCCCCGGGGCCCCCGCCTTTTGCTGAGGGAGTGTCCCAGTGTGGATGAATCCTGACACCTCCCCTTCTCCAGCACCCGGGGCTGGGCAGGAGCCAGCCTCCCCCCACCAACAGCCCTGCCTCGGATGTGCCCTGATGCCAGGCACCCCCGAGCATCCCTGGTGGATGGCACTGGGGTGGGGGGCTGCACGTAGCATCCCCCCTCCTGGGCAGGGGACTGGGAGCAGTGTGGCTGGGTCTTGTGCTTCAGGGTCTCAGAATCAGCCTCCCACCCTTCTCTGAGCTGTGTCCCCCCCTTCGCTGTGTCAGCAGGAGTGGGAGCCCCTTGTTTGATGGGGACACTGGTGGGGGCAGATTTCTCTTCCGCACTGAGGCAGCTACAAATAAAGTTGGTGGCTTCTCCTGGGAAGCTCAGAGCTCTCCCACTACCATCGAGGATAAATCCCAGAGAAATGGCAGGAGGAAGTATGTCCTGCAGAGCTCCACAGCACTGTGTCCCTCGCCTGTCCCCAAGCTCCTCTCTGGGCAGGCTGCACCTGCAGGGGTTTGAGGGTGCCACCTCTCCCTAGGCCTATCCCCTGTCCAAAAAGCTGCCTGTCTTGGGGTGCCAGGGAGCAGCTGGGCAGGGACAGGGTGGAGTGTTGCCTGTTTCAGTCACTGTGTTGTGGTCTGCTTGTGTTGGGGATCTGTGGCACCTGCTGCAGCACATGGGTGGGAGTGGGCACGAGCCCCTCTGTTTCGCCAGGTGTCTGCCCATGGGGTTTTTCTACAGAAAGCAAAGCCAATGACCGATTTTGGGGCTGGAAATATCCTCATTGGTGGGAAGGGGGATGCCTGGTCTGGTGTGGGCTGGGATATTCCCTGCTTGGGTCCTCTGGGTGTGAGTGCCCAGAGGATGGAGCAGCTGGGGAGCCTATGGCAAGAAGTCCTCCCAGGTTAATGTGGCACTATATGATGCTTCGGGGCTTTGGTCCTGCCTGACCCCTTCCCTGGGGCAGGACAGGTTGGTGGGATGTGGGCTCTGCCAGCCTTGGCACTGACAGGACACTTTGCTGTTCCCCTTTGCAGCGGGCAGCCGGGTGAGCCAGGAGCTGCGCTACACCAAGGAGAAGCTGGGCGAGGAGTCAGTCTACACCTCCCAAATGTTGATCCAGACCCCGAAACGGGATGGGGAGAACATCCTGACTCAGGAGGCCCTGCAGCTCCACCTCGAGGCGGCCCTGGCCGCCAGCAAAGTCCAAGTCTCGCTGTACGGAAAGTGAGTCCAGCTCCGGTCGGGGGCGACAGGGACCCCCGCCATGTCCTGCTTGTCCCCCACACCCCTTACCATGTCCCCCGTGGGATGATGCTCCTCCTCAGCTCCTCGTTCTGCCTTTCCAGATCGTGGGATTTGAATAAGATCTGCTACAAGTCGGGTGTCCCTATCATTGAGAACGGCATGATTGAGAGGGTGAGTGCTGGGCATAGCGTGGCCCCCAGGCAACCCCCCACGGGGGTCGGTCCCCAGTGATCGGGCAGTGAATGGGCTATGGTGGGGATGGGACTTGTCAGCCCCAGGCACTGCAAAGGCACTGCTGATGTGTGGGAAGGTGCAGGCTTGGGCAGCCTAGCAGGGCTGGGGTGGGGGGAGCAGGGGGCACCTGATCCATCCCTGCTGATCCCTCACATCTTCTCCTCCCACAGATGATAGAGAAGCTGTTCCCCTGCGTGATCCTGACGCCACTGGACTGCTTCTGGGAAGGCGCCAAGCTGCAGGGAGGCTCAGCTTACCTCCCGTGAGTGTGGGGGGCTGTGCCATGGGTTGGGGGGCTGTGGGTGGGAGCCGGGACTGGGGTGGGGCTGCCAAGGGGCTGAACTTGACCTCCCCTTGCATCTCGGCTCTGCTGCCCCAAGGACCCTTGGTGCTGCTGCTTGTCCTGCTCAGCCCCAGGATGGTGCCACCACCATTGCTCGGTCAACCCTCCCCAGGGACAGGTCACTGTCCTCACCTACCTGGCCTCAGTGCACTGCTGGGGTGGGGGGCTGCAGCCCAGGGGCAGGAGTTGCCCAACCCTGCCATGCCATCACAGCAGCCAGGGATGGGGATGATGGGGACAAGGCCATGCCACAGGCAGGTCCCTGGGGGCTGTTCCACCAATGCTTTGTGGTGCCACGGTGGCAAGGGAAGCACCGACACTTTCGAGCTGTGTGCCCTGGGACACGGAGGGTGCAGAGTCCCCTGGGTGGGTGGCAGGTGATTCCCAGCCAGCTCCCCACACCGCCGCGGTGGGGCTGGGGACCCCGGGCTGGGCGGGGGTCTCCCCCCTTCACACACATTCCTTCTGTTTACGCGTGTGTTTGTCCGGGAGAGCCGGGGCGGCTTGTGCATTGTCAGCAAATGCAGCCCCGCGCTTTCTCATGCTAATGCTGCTCTGAAAGCTGCCCCATGCCAAACAGATGAAATAGTGGCCTTATTCAGGCTCCTGCCTGACGGGAGGAGGGGGAAGGGGCCGCAGCATCCCCAGCCAGGACTGGGGGACTGGCTTTGCTCCCCCAAGTCCTCAGGTTCTCCCCATCCCAGCCTGGGGAGCAGCCAGGAGCAGGGGTGAGCAGGGTTGGGGCGGTGGTGCTGAGAGGGATGCTGGTGGCATTGCTGGGGTGGGCAGGACCCTGGGGCTGGGGTAAGTGACAGGCAGGCAGGGTGGCACCCACAGCAGCGGTGGGACCCATCTCACCTCTCAGCCGGGTGAGGAGGCACCCGGGCGGGCACCCCGGTTGAGCGGCCGCCAGCCCATGGGGACTCACTCGTCCCCCTTTTTAACGCCAAGGGGTGATGGGGCGGGAGCTGGGAGAACAAAGAGCAGCAATCTATGGAAAGACAAAAGGATTTGCCCTGGCTCAGTGAAGCAAGCGAAAGCAGATAAAAGGCACTCTCTTTGGAAGCGGCAGCAGCTCTGGTTGGTATGTGGGAATCTCCAGCGTCCAGCTCCAGCCCAGCCAGCCTTCATGAATTATTAGGCTGCGTTTCTCCCCAGGGCTCACACTCGCTCGAGGCTTTTTCTATCCCTCTTTGGAGCACTGGGCTGCGTTACTGGCTTTTTTGTGTGTCTTTTCTGCCCTATAAAAGAAGCTGAGTGAGGCTGGGCGCTGGCCCGTGGGCACCCCAGGCTGGGATGGAGGGAGCAGAGCATCTGCAGGCAGTGGAAAAACCCCTTTTCCTGAGTACCCCAAGTCCCATGGTGTCCCATTGGACCTCCAAGGACCTGGTCCATGCTAAGATCCTAGCACCACCACCACCAGAACCTCTGCTGAGCCCCAAAACCTCCAGCTTGAGAGGAGGTGGCAGGAGGGGCTGGAAGGGATGCTGGGAGCCCTCTCCTGCCTGCTCCCCTCTATCAAGATGTTAGCCCACGGGCAGTAATCGGCCTGACTGCTCGCACAAAGCAGGGCCAGGCGGTGGGGCCAGCTCCCCCCGCTTTGTCCCAGCCTAACAGGATCAGGCACGCTACTTGACTCGGGGCACGGCCGCTGCACCACGCGGGGCATGGGGGATGCTGCAGGCAGCCCCGGGAGGGGGTAGGGGATGTGCTGGGGATTGATGCTGCTCCTCTGTGGCCTCGCACCCTGCCTTTCAGGGCACCCCTGGACCCATGGAACTGGGTGGGGTTTCAGCATCCCCCATCACCCCTGTGCCACTCTCTCCCCAGGGGACGCCCGGACATCCAGTGGAGCAACCTGGATCCTCTGCAGCTGATGGAGGAGCTGGGGCAGTTCACATCCCTGGAAGGCTTCAAAGAGCTGCTGGATAAGGCAGAGGTGGGGCAGGCTTACATGGAGCGGCCCTGTCTGGACCCCCACGACCCCCAGTGCCCTCCCAGCGCTCCCAACAAGCAGAGCCAGCAGGTAGGTGACAGCCCATGGCAACCGGGAGGGGTGAGAGGGCTTGCTGCTCTCCCACCTGCCCCATGGTCTCATATGCCTCACGCCCATCCCTCCACCCACAGAGCCCTGACATCCCAGCCGAGCTCTCAGGGGGCTGCCACGGCTTCTCCAGGAAGTTCATGCGCTGGCAGGAGGAGCTGATTTTGGGCGGCACGACCAAAGACTCCCAGGGCAAGCTGCTACGGTGAGTGCTGCTGCAGCATGGGTGTCCTCAGGGGTGGCACAGGGGTGCAGCCATAGCACTCACCCTGGGAATAGTTTGGGACAGGGTCCCCTCATCCTCATCCAGTGCACACAGGAACCTGCCCTGCCTGCAAGGGGCTGCAGGACTGTCTGGGAGAGTGTGAAAGGCTGGCAATAGTATGGGGCTGGCAAGCAGGAGCTTTGGAGCAAGGGGTGAAACAGGGGCAGGATGCCTGAGTCTTCTCCTGAGTGTCCGTGGTGGGGCTGTGGGGTGGGGAGCGGACCCATTCCTGCATCCTGGGGTGCTGCAGCCGGTCCCAGCGAGGTGCGTACCTGTCTCCCAGTGCTGAGGCCCTGCAGACCATGTTCCTCCTCATGAGCCCACGGCAGCTCTTTGAGCACTTCAAGGACGACTACGAGATCCATGACATCAGCTGGAGTGAGGAGAAGGCGGGTGCCATCCTGGAGGCGTGGCAGAGGAAATTCGTGGAGGTAGGCACTGGGATCAGCCCCATGTGGGGCTTGGCAGGAGTGACCCTGTGTGTGTCATCTCCCTGCATCCAGGTTTTCATGTGGCCACCGGTCCTGGCACCACTTTCTTGTGGTCCAGTGAGTCCCTAGGGACCCTCAGTGGTGGTGCTGACACCCTGGGTGGCTCTGGGGGGATGTACAGGGGGGCAGAACAGGGGTCCTGACTCCTCTAATGGGGTGCATCTCTGGCAGCTGGCACAGGACTCCATTCCACCCAACGCCACGCAGAGTGTCCATGCTTTCTCCACCACCACGCTCAATGACATCATGAAGTCTTTCTCCGACGTCAGTGCCATCCGGGTGGCCGGGGGCTACCTCCTCATGGTGCGTGTGTCCCCTCTTTCTGATCCCTGCTGTTCTTCCTTTGTCCCTTGTCCCCCTTAACTCGATGTGTTCTTCCAGCTGGCCTACGCCTGTGTCACCATGCTGCGGTGGGACTGCTCCAAGTCCCAAGGGGCCGTGGGCCTCGCTGGGGTCCTGCTTGTGGCCCTCTCTGTGGCCTCTGGTCTGGGGCTTTGTTCCCTGCTGGGCATTTCCTTCAACGCTGCCACCACCCAGGTATGTGCTGGGGGAAGAGCTGGGTACTGTGGGGCTGGTGGGATGGCCAGGTGGCTGAGTCCCCTCCCAGGCAGTAGCCATGTCCTTCCACTGACACGGGCTGGTCTTTTTCAGGTCCTGCCCTTTCTGGCCCTTGGCATTGGTGTGGATGACATGTTCCTCTTGGCTCATGCCTTCACTGAGACCAGCCAACACATCCCCTTCAAGGTGAGTGCTGAGCCCTTCTCAGTAGCTGTCAGATCCCCTTCTACTTCCCTGTGGCCCCTCTCATCACCCCCTCCCTCTGTCCCCACAGGAGCGGACAGGTGAGTGCCTGAAGCGCACAGGGACCAGCGTGGCCCTCACCTCCGTCAGCAACATGATTGCCTTCTTCATGGCAGCCCTGGTGCCCATCCCGGCCCTGCGTGCCTTCTCCCTCCAGGTTTGGCTGTGGTCCCTCTCTGGGGACTGGACAGGAGGGGGTGCCTGAAGTCCTTTTCTGTAGTGGGTGGGAAGGGCTGACCAGACCCGGCTCTGACATGTCCTCCCACCCACAGGCTGCGGTGGTTGTGGTGTTCAACTTTGCCATGGTGCTATTTGTCTTCCCTGCCATTCTGAGCCTGGACCTGCACCGCCGGGAGAAACGCCGACTTGACATCCTCTGCTGCTTTTACAGGTACCAGCACCAGGCTGCCCAGGATGCAGCTGGCCCCACAGGACCCTCTCAGAAGCATGGGGTGGCTCTGCTCTTCTCCCTCAGCATCTTCTCCTCCTTCACTCTCTCCTTCTTTCCTTTCTCCCTGCAGCCCTTGCTCCTCACGGGTCATCCAAATCCAACCCCAGGAGCTCGCCGATGCCAATGACAACCATGCCTGCCACCCCTCCCCTTACGGGCACCCTGGCGTGACCACCAGCACCCAGATAACCACCACTGTGCAAGCTTTCACTCGGTGTGACCCCTCGGGCCACCACGTCGTCACTGTCCTGCCACCCACCTCCCAGGTGTGCACCTCACCCACGGTTCTCCTGCCCCCCACCGACCCCCTGGGCTCGCAGGTCTTCACCCCATCCAGCTCCACCCGGGACCTGCTGGCCCAGATGGACGAGGCCAAGGGTGGGCGGGAATGTGTCCCCCTGCCCTTCTGCCGCTGGAGCCTTGCTGACTTCGCCCGAGAGAAGTACGCCCCGCTCCTCCTGCGAACCCGGACCAAGGTGAGGTGGGGATGGTCCCAGTGGTGCCAGCCAACAGGGGTGGGTGGCACCGGACCCTGCCTGACTCCCCACTGTCTCCACAGGCGGTGGTGGCAGTGCTGTTCCTGGCACTGCTGGGGCTGAGCCTCTATGGCACCACCATGGTGCACGATGGGCTCTACCTGACAGACATCGTGCCGCGGGACACCAAGGCGCACGCCTTCATCTCGGCCCAGTTCAAGTACTTCTCCTTCTACAACATGTTCATCGTCACCAAGGGTGGCTTCCACTACCCGGGCGCCCAAGCTGCTCTGCTCAGCCTGCACCAGGCCTTCAGCACCGTCAAGTACGTGGTGCGGGAGGGCAACCATGACCTGCCCAAGATGTGGCTCCACTACTTCCAGGACTGGCTGCGAGGTAAGGGACATTCCTTTTCTCCATGATCTCCCAACCCTGCACCCTCCCTGCTGGCCTGGGAATGCCTTCTCTGGTGTCTGTCACCCTGGGAAGGCCCATGGTGTCCCCCAAGGCAGCTGGCAGTGCCAATCTGAGCTGGGTTTTCTGTGTGCCCATCCCACTGGCACCATGCCCCCCAGGGCACACAGGGTGCCATACAGGGTAATGTGCTCCAAGGGATGCTCACCCCTCGCGCTGCATCCCCAGGGCTCCAGGCCACCTTCGACAGGGACTGGCAGGCTGGGCGCATCACCCATGACAGCTACCGCAACGGCTCAGAGGACGGCGCGCTGGCCTACAAGCTCCTGATCCAGACTGGCAACAAGAAGGAGCCCTTCAACTTCAATCAGGTGTGTGGGGACAGGGATAGGGTGACCGAGCTGGGGACAATGCTCTGCCTGCTGCCCTGCTTATGCTCCCTCCTGCTTTCTCCCCATAGCTGACCACACGGCGGCTGGTGGATGAGAATGGCATCATCCCCCCTGACACCTTCTACATCTGCCTGACGGTTTGGGCCAGCAATGACCCCCTGGGCTTCGCCGCCTCCCAGGCCAACTTCTACCCTCCACCGCCTGAGTGGATCCATGACAAGTATGACACCACGGGCGAGAACCTGCGAAGTGAGTGAGCATGGTGGGCTCCCTGCAGCTCCCTCCCTCCTGCACCCCAACATCCCTCTGCGGAGGACCCCACTTCCCACACGTTTTGTGCCTGCAAGCATTCTCCTGAAGAGAAGCTCCCTGCATCCCTCATCCTATCATCATCCTCTGGTAGAGAAACTGCCATGTTTCCCTGTGTCCTACATCTGTCCCCCTGCACCCCACACCCATCCCCCTGCACATCCCACTGTGCACTCAACAACCTGCTGCTCCAGCTCATGGCCATCTCACTGCACATAAGTCCCTCCGCTCTGTTCCCCTTCTGCCCCACAAGCCCTTGCCTGTGACCCCCTACCCTACAAGCACCCTGCAGGCAGAGAACCCTCCTCCCCCTTGCCCTCAATCTGCTCTGCATACCAGCCCCGTGGTGCCCAGCCAGGCATGGGGCTGCCCGGGCTGGGTTCAGGCTGGTGTGGCTGGGGTGCATCCCTGCCTGTACCACTATACTGACTGTGCTCTCCTCTCCAGTCCCAGCAGCCCAGCCGCTGGAGTTTGCCCAGTTCCCATTCTACCTGAGCGGGCTGCGTCGCACAGCCGACTTCGTGGAGGCGATCGAGAGCGTTCGGGCCATCTGCCGGGAGGCTGCCCAGCGCCATGGGGTGCTGAGCTACCCCAGCGGCTACCCCTTCCTCTTCTGGGAGCAGTACATCGGCCTGCGCCACTGGTTCCTGCTGGCCATCAGCATCCTGCTGGCCTGCACCTTCCTGGTCTGTGCCCTGCTGCTGCTCAACCCCTGGACGGCCGGCATCATCGTGAGTATGCACCCCGGGGGATGGGGATGAAGGGGTGCTGCCCTTCTGATGGGTGGGGACGAGGACATACAGCTCTGCTGCCGTCCTGGTGGGTGGCTCTGAGTGCCTGGTTAACGGAGATGGAGCAATGGAGTGGCCAGGGGCACCCTGGGTGGAAGTGACATACATACAAAGGTGGCATTAGGTCTGGGACACTCATACGGAGGGATCAGGGACATGGCTTATGAAGGGAACATATGGAGGAGGCATGGGTCTGGGGCATTCCATGCAGAGGAGGCAGGGGGGGATGGAGGTCGCAGCAAGTGGGCAACCCATACAAATGGAATGTATGTAAGGCACAGGGGCCTGGGAACATCCATGCAGAGAAAGTTGAGGGTCACCCCCGATAGATGGTGAGACAGAGGAACACCTCAAATAGGGGAAAGGGGCAATAGGGTGAGGGTGTTTTATGTGGAGGGGTGGGATCAGACATGACAGGTGAAGGGGCAGAGGGAACAGCTGAGCAGAACCACCCCTCACTGAACCCACTGCCCAGCAGGTCTCCATCCTGGCCATGATGGCAGTGGAGCTGTTTGGCATCATGGGGCTGATGGGCATCAAGCTGAGTGCCATCCCTGTGGTCATCCTCATCGCTTCAGTGGGCATCGGCGTCGAGTTCACTGTTCACGTGGCCCTGGTGAGTGCAGGCAGACCCCTGCCCATCCATAGGGCATGACAGTTCCCATTCCCCAGCACTCTCACCCTCATGGCCAATGGGTGGCCACACCACGGGTGGCACACAGGGACGAGCCCTGTGTGACATCCCCCCTCCATGCAGGGCTTCCTGACGGCTGCAGGGAGCAGGAACGTGCGCTCGGCCGCCGCGCTGGAGCACACCTTCGCTCCTGTGATGGATGGTGCTGTTTCCACCCTCCTGGGTGTCCTCATGTTGGCTGGCTCTGAGTTTGACTTCATCATGAGGTGAGTGCTGGAGCGGGCTAAACCATCTGCTTCCTGCCCTCCAAAAGCAATGGGGGCGGCTGGTGACGTGGCAGCCTCCTTGGCTGGCAGTGGGGATGAGAGGCAGCTGGGAAGGTTGGATCTTGCTGGAAGCACCCACCTCATCTCGCATGGAGGCTGGGGAGACATGGCAGGGCTGGGGTGTATGGTGTGGGAGGCCTTGTTTGGGGTGGGATAGGTTTCATGGTGGCCATGTCTGTTTACCTCTCTGCCTATGGCCCCCCCAGGTACTTTTTTGCAGTGCTCACCATCCTGACACTGCTGGGGCTGCTCAATGGGCTGGTGCTGCTGCCTGTCCTGCTCTCCATCATTGGGCCACCCCCTGAGGTATGAGACCCCCCTCCTGCCTTTCCCTGTACCTCACTGACCCCATACCCACCTCTTCTCATCCCCCATTGCCTCTCATCCTGTGTCCCCTCCACCCTCTACTCATTCCTGCCTTGCCAAGTCCGAACCTCACCTCTCACCCACCTCAGCCCATCCATCACCCTATAGCATCCCTGCTTTACCCCATCCTTTCTCTGCCCCATATCCAATTTGCCCCATACCTGCATGACCCCACTCCTGCCTTACCCCACACTGGAATCCCACACTTCTTCCCTGACCCTATCCTGCCTCACCTTGTATCTCCCTCACCTTATATCTCCCTCACCCCCCACAGCCCTCACCTCATTCTCACATCACCCCATACTCCCTGCTACCCCCTGCTCCTCCATCCTTGCATGCCTCCAGTCCCTCTGACACTGTCCCCTTTCTCCCCAGGCATCCACAGTGGATAATGGCTCCCACATGCCCCCTCCAGAGCCAGTGCCCCCATGCCTGAGCCATGGGGGGCTGTATGTCCGACATGCCCCAGCCTGGCCTGCCACCTTCCCCGAGCCCTTGGACACAGAGCGTTATGCAGAGAGTGTGGGGTCCAGCAGCCCCCGGGGACCATTCATCGTGCCCCCTGCCCCAGCACATATCCTGCTGGAGGCTGGCAAGGACCCCAGCTTCCCCCGCATCACCGTGAGTGTCTCTTCCTGCTGTGGTTCCCCAGTATCCCCTGGAAGAGGCTCATGGATAGAGCCAGAGGACAGGGGATTGTGGGTCCCCCAGGGTTGCCAGAGGGATTCTCAGTGTGGCTGGACCCCTCATGTGCTGTTTACCTCCCATCCAGGTGCTAAAGCCCTACAAGGACACTCCAGAGGTCCAGGGGAAGAAGGAGGCCCCCGGCCCACAGCCTGCACACCCCCTGCCCTTCGGGGAGCCGTGCCCCATGCCGCCCCGAGACTACCCACAGCCCTGCCCACCGGGCACCCGGCCACCCCCCACTGGCGCCATGCC